TCTGAGTTTCCTGTTGATATCGTGTAACTCAATTGGCTGTTTATCCCTGAGTCTTGATCACTGCAGTTTAGTGTAGCCACAACATCGCTGACAGCAGCTGTCTCAAGTATTGCGGGCGTCAACAATCCAGGAAGGCATGCTGGGTGATTATCATTGTAGTCCAACAAATTGACAGTCACGGAAGCCTGGGCACTAAGTGGACTTCCCGAGTCGCCGTCCGTAGCTGTAATTGTAAGAGTGATCTGGGAACTGGTTTCGTAATCCAAAATGGAAACCAGTTCTACCAACCCACTGTTTCTGTCAATGATAAAGTTCCCGTATGCGTCTCCCGCGGTTATGGAGTAGGTAACCTCGCCTTGTGAACCCATATCGGCGTCATTGGCCGATACAGTGATGACGTCATGGCCTAGTGCCAGGCTCTCCGAGACATTTACAATGTAAATACCGCTGGATGTAAACTGCGGTGTGTGTTCGTTTATGCCGGTAACGGTTATCAGAATTGTAGTGGTGGCTGTTTTTGGAGGGGAGCCAGCATCTGAAGCTTCAACGGTTATTTTATATTCTTGAAGCGATTCGAAATCTAGAGAAGCGCTTGTGGAAATCTCGCCAGTTGAAGAATTCACTACAAAGGCTCCACCATCCCCAGATACTATACTGTATGTTACCTAAAGAAACAAAATAAATAAAAACGCCAATACCGTATTAATTTGAGTAAGCGCCCAACCTCGAATTAGCGCCCACCTCGATTAAGCGCCCATCCTAAAGGCAGAAATAGTTAATAAGCGCCCACCCCCACCCCACCCACTTTAGTGACAAGGAGATTGAAATTGAAATTGAATAAGTACTAATAAGACTTAGACTTCCCCGAAGACGGAGTTTTCTTCAGAGCATTTTACAGGAACCTTGCTTTGTTACATCTTTGCGTTTTGTTGCAGAATAAACATACTACACTAGCTGAAAATGGTGAAAGCTCAATAAGCGCCCAGCCTCTATTAAGCGCCTACCTCGAATAAGCGCACACTCTTAAGGTCCAAAAATTTAAAAAGCGCTCACGGCGGTTGATCGAATAAATACGGTATCTATCAGGGGCACCTAAAGGCTGTTTTCTGTAAAATATTTGTTCGGAGAAGCACATATTGCCTAGACTTTTCTTTTACTAGAGGACGGCTAAACATTTCTAGATGACCGTTTCATTCAAGCTTATCCAATCTATTCCCTACGGTCTCCTAAAGTTTGATTTTTCCACACTCTTTCTTGAATTTTCATCTTTCACTCTCCAGATTAGGCTATTTTTCGTTGAGAAAGGAAACCTATGATTTTCGGATACGAAAAGGTGATGGAGAGAGGAATCAGAAAAAATCCTCACTTTTGTAATACATTAAATTGCATCTAAAATTTTCGGGAAAGCCGTTATAATTTCGATAAGGCTCAATTTCCCTTAGGATAACCGAACAGACACCAAGTTTATAGCACCGCTTAGAATGCAATTCTGGAGATCTAAAAATACTCTGGATAGCCTAAAAGAGGTTTTCATTGCAATGTTTTTTGGAGGAAAACGTCGTTGGCTGCCCCTGATCTATAATACTCATTACAATACAACAGGCCAGTACAGCTTGAAAATCAAATAAAAGCTGCCGAAAACTACTCTCGTGTGGCACTGTGTAAAAGGTGATTCAAACTTTTTGATTCTGTGAATGAAATTTTTATGAGTGATCATACAGATCAGTTGAAAGCTTCTGAGTAATTCTTTTCTGTGACTCTGTTTGTTATGCTGTACAAGGTACAGTGAAGGTGGTCGTTCTAACGTTTGAGTTTGTGAATAAAATCCTAAGGAGTGACCATTCATATGAACGCTCCCGACCGCCGTTTAACGCGGTTTTATTCTAACTGTGTCTGAGAAAAATCAGCACCTTTACGAAAATGGTGAGCTTACGCAACAAAGAGGAGAGGAGGACGGCAAAGCGTTTGTGCGTGAGTAACAAACGTGAAAGGGCTATTACTTGCGAGTTTTGTCGAGATGTTTAGTTAACCTTACTGAGTTCTGGTCTTCTACAAAAAGATCTGTTTAAATTAAGCAAGGTGAAGTTTGGGGGAAGCGTTTCTCAAACACGATTACTGTCACGCTTGTCACACAAGTTTTGCCGTCTTCTTTCCTCTGACGTTCTTCTGGGGACGTTCTTTTGCGCAAGTTCATCAATAAGTGACTGACCTCTCCATTTCCGCCAATATCCAAGTCAGGACACTCCACTGTTATTGCTGAAGTTGCTACAGCCGCGTTCTCTGCCACTGAACCCGCATAAACAGACGCTCCACATACGGGATTGTTATCATTTACATCACTGACGGTGACATTAATGGTAACCAATGAAAAACGACCCCCAGAATCCGTAGCGGTGAGAGTAAATGAACAGGAGTCTTGTGACTCACGGTCTAGTAAAGCACTGGTGGAAATCACTCCAGTGTTTTCGTTAACGGTGAAGTTGACGCTGTCTGCTCCTGTAAGAGGCAAACAGAGATATTCTGTATATGACTTAAAAAGTAAATCGTTCATTAGAAACCTTTAGATTCAAGGACGGAGGACGACTACGAGTACGAGATTTGACTAGAGGTTTTTTCGCGTATTGTCAAAATATAGACTCCCGGAAAGCTTTATTTTACTATTTTTCACCGGAAAGGTTAGCACTGTTACCTTTGGTCAAGGAGGTTATACCTTCTCCCGATCACAAAATGATAAAACTACTAACATTTGATAACTTGTTTCCGCCACTTCCACATTCTCGCTAAAACTCGAACTAAGAGTGACGCCGGCGACCACGTTTTCCCACCAAAATAAAAAATATCGTAAGTTGTCTTAGAATCCAAAGGTCTCTTTAACAATTATTCCTCTCGCCCTCATGGGCTCTGAGACTATAGCCCATGAGGCCGAAGGCCGAATGGGCTATAGACTCAGAGCCCATGAGGGCGAGAGGAATAATTGTTTTAGTAAAATCCAACTAGTTGGTCAAAAATATAGAGGATAAAAAAATTTTGGTTAGTTAAAGCTAGACTTTAATCCCTTTTTACCGCCAAAAAGCCCGCGCTTTTCGCTACTAGTGGGCTATAACATATATAGCCTAATAGTAGCTCAACCAGTCAGNATATTCTGTATATGACTTAAAAAGTAAATCGTTCATTAGAAACCTTTAGATTCAAGGACGGAGGACGACTACGAGTACGAGATTTGACTAGAGGTTTTTTCGCGTATTGTCAAAATATAGACTCCCGGAAAGCTTTATTTTACTATTTTTCACCGGAAAGGTTAGCACTGTTACCTTTGGTCAAGGAGGTTATACCTTCTCCCGATCACAAAATGATAAAACTACTAACATTTGATAACTTGTTTCCGCCACTTCCACATTCTCGCTAAAACTCGAACTAAGAGTGACGCCGGCGACCACGTTTTCCCACCAAAATAAAAAATATCGTAAGTTGTCTTAGAATCCAAAGGTCTCTTTAACAATTATTCCTCTCGCCCTCATGGGCTCTGAGACTATAGCCCATGAGGCCGAAGGCCGAATGGGCTATAGACTCAGAGCCCATGAGGGCGAGAGGAATAATTGTTTTAGTAAAATCCAACTAGTTGGTCAAAAATATAGAGGATAAAAAAATTTTGGTTAGTTAAAGCTAGACTTTAATCCCTTTTTACCGCCAAAAAGCCCGCGCTTTTCGCTACTAGTGGGCTATAACATATATAGCCTAATAGTAGCTCAACCAGTCAGAACGCAGCATTGATAATAGACCACTAGTTGGATTTTACTAAATTTAGTCAACGAAACGATAAAGCCGTCGATCGGCAAAAGCTTTGATTTTTAACTTTTACCTTTAACAGTAGTGAAACGTCTCTTTAGACTTCATTATTGTAAGGATTTTTTTTTTCAAATACTTGCCAAAATTAGCGAAAAGATTCCACATCGCCGTACGTCCACTCGTTTATTGTTGGCATTTATCGTTAAGCAGAATGTAGTACGAAAACAATTTTGTCATCTTCTGTGGTCTATAATTGTGCTGTTTAAACGGCATATTATGTCATCAGAATTAAAATTAACATTATTAACATCATTACAGAATTTGCATCCCCGCATCATAATTATGATCGTCATATCATCATCGTCTTTATCAGTTAAAAGTATCTGTATATCCGACCGCCTGTTCCTTGTCGACTAAATTCTCAGATTTCTTCGATCTTCATAACGACAAATTTACAAAAAGTGAAAAGTCAACTATTTACTGTCAAACTCAGAAAACCGTGAACACCTGAAAAATTTCAGGAATGTTGATTGTGTACTGGCCAGTCACAACAGAGTTCAGGACACGCGAACAAACCTGAAAACCACAATTAATTACGTTGCTGTTTGCGGTTTAGTTATCTAGCGCCTAATTGGCTTATTTCTCGCAGCTTAATAACATTCCATAAATATTTCTGGTGTTCACGGTTTTGTAAGTTTCTCAGTAACAAATATTCCAAGAGTGCGCGTTGGATATGAGTTGGCTATAATCATCTCATATCCAACAAGCGCGAGTGGAATAATTGTTTTATTAAAAAAGCCCACAAAATATCAAGAATTCTTTCCGACTTTATTGGTAAAAACAACCGATTTTAAGATTCTTTTTAATTTTGAGCTGACACGTACAGTTACCATATTTGGAGAGCATTGTACAATGGCTCATGTAACATCATGGCTAAGCCAATCAGAGCTCTACAATTGCATTATCAAATGATTCAGTTTTTAATAATTACTGTTATCCGTACCTGATATTGTGTAGGTTATAACATCTGACAGATCGTCATCACTTGCCGTTACCCTGACGACACTAGTGCCAGGAACGCTATCTTCCGACACACTGGCGCTGAATGACGCGCTGCTGAACACTGGATCATTATCCACAGCGTTTATCACTGATATTATTACAGTGGTTGTACCGGTATTGTTTGCATTATCTGTAGC